TTTCGCTTCGTTAGCTGCCGGTGTGGCACAAGCTGTCTGGAGTGTTACGTGCAGGATGCAACCCCGAGGGAACACCTACTCGCCCGGTCAAAATGAAGGCAGCATTCTTCAGAGGTTTCGTCTGTCTACGCCAGCCATCTTGTGTGCTCAGCGAGATGTCCGGAATGGCGACTTCGGCTCTCACCGTGTTAGGAACATAGAATCTGTTTCCTATAGCGTCGCTTGATGGGAAGATGATGTGCAAGTTATTTTCTGATCATGACGTAATGATGTGGGCCACTGGTTCGTGATGAACTCCCAGAGATGTTTACGAACGGTAATGTGCCTCCTCTTCGACGATCAATATTTAAACACAGTACGTCCAGTTGTTTATCTAATCCTTCCAGCCGCACTGCGACCCTGGGGTCGACTCAGTCCCTAACAGAAATGAGTAACAGGAATGTTCTTGGGAGTAAAGGGCGGCCGGCGCGTAATGCTGACAACCTCACCGCCATCTGTGAGCCGAGTGTCTAGAAAGCGTTGGAGCCTCGACGTCCCACAACCCTATGGGCCTCCATGGCCTGTTACAGGGATAGCTTTGCCTTTTTTTTACCTTTTACGCCCAGTTATTACACATTATTATTATTATTGTTATTATTATATGTTTATGACTGTTGTGGTCATTGAAGCAGTGACTTAGTTCTGCTTGCGTCTGTCCATTTCACCCCTTCTCAGCCGTGGCTAAGAATGCTGGGCAAGCTGTATTGCGTGGACAGCGTCGTGACGCTTCTCGCTCCCCGCTGCAGAGCGCGCGTACCGGAGATCGATAAGGTGAAGCGACTTACAGAACGGCGGATATTCGCTAGGGGATTCCCCTCTGTCGTGAGAAGGTGCGTGTTGCCCTGTCCTTTGCTGGAGCATGCACTGCGACTGCGCAGTTCGGTAGCCGAATGCGACATAGGCCTATTCACCTACACACGTTACAGATGTCAGCATCGCCAATCTGTGCCTCTGGGGCACGTAACGCGAAGTCCCTCTCGGGCCATTTGGTGCGTTCGCAACGAGAAGTTGCTAACAGTACGCCTGTTAGCTTTGTCGTGTCTGTCCGTCCGCCAGAAAGCTAGAACCGTTGGACGGATTTTCATGAAATTTGATATATCTGAGTTTCGCTAGATTTGCCACACATCCCAAGTTTGGTTAAAATCATGTAGCAGTGACGACCGCTGTACGTGGAGATGTACACGCGTTTCGAAACACATCTAGAGCGTTTAACACAAAACAGAAGTTTCAGATAAAATGGAGCGCTTTGTATGTCCACTGCATTGCCCCCACCCCGCTAAGACTTGCACCTCTAAATAATGAAGCAGTTCATATGCTGTGCGTTGAAGTCACCGTCCGTACTGAGGCAATTGCGTGATAATGCACTCCGTCCTCCTTTTCCCATGTCGTGGTCTGCGAATGGTTGACCGATTAGTTTATAAAAATATTGATCCATTTGCTGTTACTGTGCAACTGTAATTGTAACGCGGGGCGCGAAACAGACGTTTCTCGTTCTTCGTGCTTCTGAGTGTTTAGTGCGTGTTCCGGGGCGGGGGCGGGGCGTCCTGCCGCCCTGAGCTCAGCTGTAACTCATTTCCATTATTTAAGTCTTAAAATAATTCACTGGGCAGGACAGGGCGATAAATAAAGCCTCTCCCCGTTGCTAAGCTCTCCGCTCCTTCCTGAAGACTGAATGGCAGTAAGCCAAGTGTCCATATGTCCATGGGTTCGAGACTCATTCGGTTACTTTTGAGCCGCACTTCCTCCTCTTCGAAGACAACCATGCTCTGCTANGCAGCAGTTTGCTACCCGGGACTGTGCGGGCGACACCAGCTAACTCAGTGGAGCAGAATCCTCTTGAGAATTTAACAGTCGTCCATCTGCTCGAGAAAATCTGTACCTTTGATGGAACCCGAACAGCCTGTCACAGGTTCCTGTCGTAAGCCAGATGAATCCAGCCGAGCCCTCTCGCCCTGCGTTAATGCCCATTTTAGCATTATTGCTGTTTTCTTCCTTAGACAGGTTGGGCTGGCGGCCATGTTCGCATTCAGAATTATTCTAAAGCTGTGAATCTCACTGGAAGGGGCGATCAGCCGGTCACAAGGCCGCTACACACACAGGACAGACAAGACGAACTCAGAAGAAAACGCGGACATACATACCTCCATGCCTCTAGTGGGATTCGAATCCACGATCCCAATGTTCGAACGGGGAAAGACAGTTCGTGCCCCTGAGATCGGACTGCACCTGTATATGGCTATTACTGAGAAGACAGTGGGAGGCTCTACCGGGGGCGCTCGGTAGCGTAGTTGGTTGAGGCACTATGCTACAAGCCGGAAGGTCGCGGCTTCCAAACCCCGTGAAATCATTGACCTAATCCTTCCAGCCGCATTGTGGCCTTGGGTTCGACTCAGCGTCTAACAGAAATGAGTACCAGGAATGTTCCTGGGCGGTAAGGACGGCCGGCACATAAGGCTGAGAACCTTACTGCCATCCGTGAGCTGATTGTCTAGAGAAAATGTGGGAGCCTCGACGTCTCACAACCCTGTGGGCCTCCACGACCTATTACAGGAATAGTTTACCTTTTTTACCTTTTTGTAGGCTGTACCATGGCATAATATCTCCCCTAGCTTAGGGAAACAAAATTGTAATTCCCCCCAGAATGGAATGCGCTAAGCAGGGTATATACCATGTGGCCCTCTGCAAGCACTCCCTCCCATCGGAGCCAACGAAACAAGCCAATTGAAATGGCTCGCTCCGGGCAAGTTCATGAACGAGAAGCAGAAATCGATTAGGGTCGAAGGCTACTCGTATCTTGTCTCTATCTCTCCGTTATTATTGGTAAGGCCATAAGTAAACAGATAAGTAACCGATGGACGCCCACCGCCGTTGCGACGCCGACGCTCTAATTTGTAGTTACTGCTTCGGTTAGGTCTGATAATCGATTAGTAACTTTTAAATCATTCAGCTTGTTCGAAATGTTCTCCACTACACAGAAGTCTTATGTATAATTTAAACATCGTCGGAAGCTTTCGGGGTCCTCTGGGCTGTTGTAAAGGCCACTTTTCTAGATGATTCGTTGTTATGCAGCAGGTGCATGAAACTCATTGTAGAGATCTGCCACCGTAAATTCTGAGTATGTACTTCGGATTTCGAAGCGAATCGGGTCAGCGCCGCATGTAGAGGCATGGTTGAGCGGGTCAGACAGCCGACTGCCCCTGGTGGCCGCCAATGTGCAACACACGAGCAGATGCTGAGTTTGCCTAGGCTCGTGTCGTTTTTTTTTTTCTGAGCATGGCAACGAAAAACGTAAGCACAGTCGCTGGTAAAAGTTGAGACCTTTTAAATACTAAAGCACGTGGTACATATACTTACCATAATATAGATAGTTCTCACAAACCAACAGACTGATACGAGGTGAATGACTAGGGAACAGTCACTCTTATGGAGGAGACTTGTTCGAGCCATTTTGTTGTGCTTGGGTGACCCTTGTCTCGTCTACCTTATTTTAGCATGAAAAATCCCCCAGGATCTTTCTGTCCGGAACGCGGCTCTTGCAAGATTCAATTCTGCTCGGGTTTCTATCGCCCAGGATAGAGAGAATATTGGATCGTAGTAATATGAAGACTTGTCAGTTATGTTTGCAGAGGCTGCAGGAGAGTGCGGAAAGGGGAGGGTGGCAGGATAACAGGCACGGAAGGATGGATGCGATAACTGACTGTAGCGAAGCATACAGAACGTGTGTTTCGGGCCAACTGACAGGACAGCATGTGCCGAAAGTCAGAAGAATCCCTGCGCCACTGCACTCTGTTGTGATGTGTGTAGGAGCATGTTAACTTGATTGCTCGGTTTTATGAGAACTCGTAACTTGACGAGAGGGCACATGCGTTTTCATGCATAAAGCGCTCACAGCGGGAAATTGTTGCCGTTATGAACATGACAACTTAACTTGGTCTCGCTGTACTGTGATGCACTCTTACGCGTTATGGCTTTTGGGGACACTTCAGAATTTCGCTGAATAAAAGCTCTGTGAGTTCGGAAAGGTCTGAATATATTAGCTGCATTTGTACAAAGATTCTGAACTTGACGGAATAACAATATACAGTCGTAGCTCAGTCTTCAACGTGTACCTGAGTGAGGGTCGTGAGCCGAGTTCATTTTAACATGGAACCCAAGGCTCGGGCGCGTGTTTCAGTGTTCTGACACCTAGTGCACTGTAATTCTGTTGTCTTTATTATAAAATCAATAAAGGAGCATCAGATAACGGAGTATTAAACATCTGGACTGTTGGTATTGAAGTTACGTTATTGTCATGTTACCGCAGATCGTTAAGGCTTACGATTCGAGCCAACAAAGCATTGCAACATGGCATGTGTAAGTCCGAAAATTCGGAGCATACGTCTAAAGGATGTTAATTTCGCGGGATCCGAACCCCGGAGAATCTTTGTGCTGTAGGCGATGCTTGCGTCTAAAGGTACGTTATGATTTTTCTTCGGCAAAGGTGAACACTGAAATACTGACCGTTTGTTGTGCGCTTTCCTGCGGTACCTGTTGGTCAAACTGAGAACATTCCTGACGTGATAATGTTGTCCCCTTCATATCGGTCCCATATTTCATGCAATCCTACACAAACTCCTTTCTTGTTTGTGAGAATCTCTGGTCACAAATCATACGAAGTGCTACAAAGTTTCGGCGCTTTACCGTCATATTGAAACTAATAACATTACACTCCACTTGTCAAATTCCCCATCCACACTTTACAACCGTTTCCGTTCCCGAACGTAAATGTAAACTCTTAACCCTTTAAAACACAGTGGTAACTATGTGTACCACCGCCAGCACAGTGTATTTACATGTTTCATATCATATTAGCAATAAACAGTGATTTTTTCCCCCTAAACAGTATTAAGCGGTTGGTTTTTTGCAATGAAGCACCGTGTTTTCTGTGAGGTAGGAACTGAAATTATGAATAATATTTAGATGATTATCAGGCTTAAAAGCGTTAAATCGGTCCTCCAGAATACCAGCCTTGATGTGCAGACCGCTCTTAGCTGTTACGGAAGGACAGTGCAGTTGGTGCAAAGTGACAGGTGGCTGTAACCGTCTTGTCCGGGCCTTCCTCTCGGACACTCAGAGACCGAAGGAAAGCGAGTTGTGTAAAAACATAGCGAAGCTGAAACTCGCGGAACAGAAATATCATTTTACGGGATGTGAAGAAACGCAATCAGGAGATTTAAAAAAAAACGACTTCAGGCTTCAGTAGCGTGCACATTTGCGTCTCGGATTACCGCTTGATCTTAGACCAATCTGCGGCGTCTGCTCGCGCCCAATTACGTGAGTGTTCCACTGTCAGTTTTGATGGCTCTATCATGGAGTTTATATTGTGACGTGACGACTGAAAGTCGGAATAATGAAGCCGGATCCAGACGTTCATTACCTAGCAACGGCCCAGAAATCACGTTCCCGCTAAAACAATAGCAAGGAACGAATCGTTACCAGGCAACAAGGCATCTCCGAGACAACACGGAATAGAGCCCTTGGAGGCAGGGATCTCTGTTAGGTTCTCCGGCATTTATGGAAGGCACTGCATTTCATGAATTCGTCAGACGTCGCTCAGGAGGAGTTCCGTGTGTGAGCTGTTACAATCAACTGCAACTGTGGAAGAATGCCAATACATCCAGAGCCCTTTACTATAAGTCACGGCAGCCACTTTACGTGGCAATATCTTCAAGATGGCTGTCTTCTGGGATGTGACGCCTCGTCTGGTATGGCGCTGCAAATGTTTCCGAAGAACCTGTTGCCCCCATCTTCAGGGTTGAAGAGTAAGCAAACCAACGGGAATAGAGAGAACAGAGTAGAGCATACTATCCCTGCTGAAGTGAGCAGGCTTCACCGAAGCATTGGTGCGTGTGTACCAAACTGCATGGTCACCCACTTCTTACTGTTCGCTGGTCGCTGTATTTTGGCGTCGGGCGTCAGTTATGCCTCTGTTTCTGCCGTCTCCGTGCTGTGGAGTTCACTCGGTGACGGTTGTTCCCCGCGGAATGCAGTAACATCAGACAGGCAGCCGCCGTACCTGAGCATTGTTTGCCTGTCAGATTCTCCTTGCCCCCTCTCCCTCCCCGCCAGGCGCCCTAGGTTGCGCCTTCTCAGCCTGCTGAGGGTCGTCATCGCCACGCTCTGTGCCCCCACTGGGGCTGGACGCAAGTTGTGGGAACAGCTCGTTTCGGCGGGGTGAAATCTGTTCTGTTGCTCCACACAGGAAAGGATGACATTCCGGGCTTGGCTGTTTGATACCAGACTTAAACTTTAGCACAGTGGTAACTATTTGTGCCACTTCTTGTAACATTAAAACACTGCGTTTTTTACACATGGTATATTTATGTGCCTCGCAGTAAATGACCAGTATCTCCTAAACAGCATGAACTTGTTGAAATACTGTGTTTTCTGTGAGGTACGAACTGGATTTTTAAGCGCAGTTCCGATTGACTTCACTATTATGAACCTACGTAGTTAACAATGACTTCTGAAAAGGGAAAGACCCGCCCTCTCGCCAGAGAGGACGCCTCACAACGACAAAACTGTGTCAAGATGGAGACAGAAATCTGGTCAGACGGGGCTCCACACCAGGACGGACGGACTGTTCAGGGGGTTATGAGTAACTGATTCCGCCTTTAGGAGCCTGACGTACGGGCGTCTTGCTGTCGCAAGATGGCGGTGTTTTGAACTGTCCGACATTCCTGTTTTGGAGGTGGTCGGTTGATAACCCAGTGCCTCCATCCAGTGTCCAGTCTCCAGTTCAAACCTCATCCCCTGCATTAGGCCATGACCAATTAACTGGGCTACCATTGGACGCTTTGTGATGTGATCTACTGAATGAACGCAGATGTGTACTGCTCTGTAGATATTGCGATGTGGTGGTACGAATGTCCTTCCAGGGATGCGAACCGCTGTTCTGAGCGTTCCGGCCGCCTTCCCTATTTGAATGATAATCCGTATGTCTGGAACTGAATGAGGAGCGCCACGTATGTCGTTATGGCGCCCATAACCTGCAAAACAAAAGCGGTCTGTTCTGAACACAATGCGGACATGCTTGTTTTGCTTGTGGTGTGGATGTCACCAGCGCGAAATGTTGGCTAGGCATTTGTCTTGGAACTCACATTCTGTCTTCTGTTTTCCTTCGTGCTAGCTATTTGACGAACACAGTAGGTGTTAATTGCGCACAACAGTTTATTGTTAATTAAGTTTATATAATTGCATAGTTGTTAACTCTAGTTTCCCCGCTGTTTCTGTGACATGTGACGTTATTCTGTTCATAACTACTTGCTATGGCTGTACGTCACAATTAGCTTGCAACTCGTCACGAACTGTGGACTGCCGTCCCCTGTGATGTAACCCCGAATTGTCTGGTATATACACGTATCTCCAACATTTCGGAAGAACTTCATGCCTCCATTTTCAAGATGGAGCAACCCGCGCAGGAAACCGAGGGTAACGATCTAGGGCCAGTGGGAGACTGTGGCCTCTGAAAGGGCCCCGCCCAGTGCATGGCTGTCGTGGCCCATTTTGCCGTTTAGTCCTGACACGTGCATGTCACAGTGGCCTAGTAGCAGGGGACCTGGCACGGGTTGGGCTGGGGGGGTATCCTCAAGTGTTTAGGCAGGTCTTCTTATGGGGTTAAGGCCCCCCATACACACACAGTTTGGCCTGCCGATCGACCTGCAGGTAGAAGTGACGGACTGACGGGTTTCCTACAGTCCAAACGATTGGCCGGCCCGTGGGCCGGCCGCACCACACATCAGTTTTGCCTTTCAGCCTTGAACTGTGCAGGCCGAAGGGAGGCCAAACTGTGTGTGTATGGGGGGCCTAAGGAGTCGCAATTTACGATGGGCCTGCCGGCCAGGTTGACGCAACGGTAACGCTGTACACTCGC